AATGTCTATTTTATTTATTTCCTCTCTCATCTTTATTATTTCCTTCCTTCTGCTGACTTCAGGTTTTGTTTGCTCTTCTTTTTCTAATTCTTTTAGGTAGAAGTTTAGGTTGTTTACTTGAGATTATTGTTCCTTTTGAGGAAGTCCTGTATTGTTATGAACTTCCCTCTTAGGACTGCTTTTGCTGCATCCCACAGATCCTGTGTGGTTGTGTTTTCATTGTCATTTGTCTCAGAGTATTATTTTGTTCCTTCTTTGATTTCATCCTTCCTTGACCCATTGGTTTTTTAGTAGCATGTTGTTTAATCTCCATGCTGTCGGTCTTTTCTCCTTTGTTTTTCTGTGGTTGATTTCTAGTTTCACGGCATTGTGGTCAGAAAAAGGTGCTTTTAATAATTTGTATCCTCTTAGATTTGTTGAGGCTTCTTTTGTGCCTGAGTACATGATTTAGCCTAGAGAATGTTTTTTGCACACTTGAAAAGAATGTATTATTCTGGGGTTTTTTTTGGAATGTAATGTCCTAAAAATACAAAAATACAACTGTCCTGTTGTGTCATTTAGTTTCTCCACTGCCTGATTGGTTTCTGTCTGGAAGATCTGTTCGGTGATGTTAAGGGGGTGTTAAACTTTCCTACTATGATTATGTTCCCATCAATTTCTCCCTTTATGCTTGTTAGTATTTGCTTTATGTATTTAGGTGCTCCTATATTGGGTGCATACATGTTAATGAATATAATATCCTCATCTTGTATTGCTCTTTTAATCATTATATAGTGTGCTGCTTTATCTTTCTTTATGGCCTTTGTTTTAAAGTCTATTTTGTCTGAAATCAGTATTGCTATGCCTGCTTTCTTGTCATTTCTATTTGCATGAAACATCTTTTTCCATCCTCTCACTTTCAACCTATGTGTGTCCTTCTCCCTAAAATGGGTTTCTTGTATGCAGCATATTGTAGGGTCTTGTTTTAGTATCCAGTCTGCCACTCTGTGTCTTTTGTTTGGAGCATTTCGTCCATTGACATTTATGGCAATTATTGATAGATGTGTGTTTATTGCCATTTTGAATTTAAGTTTTCCAGTTGATTTGGTATTTCCTCTTTGTTCCTTTCTTTTTCTTTTTCTTTTTATGGTATGATATGATATGATAATTTTCTTTTGTATTGTCTTGGTTTCTTTTTGGTTTTTGTGACTCTATTGTATGCTTTCGACATGTGGTTACCCTATGTTTCAAGTGTATTAACCCAATACTCTATCTGTTTGCTTTAAACTGATAGTCACATAAACTCAAACACATCCTAAAAAGAACAAGAAAAAGGAAACAAAAGTCTATTTCCTTGCTCCCTTCTCTCACCTTTAGTGATTTTGATGTCCTCTTTATTATCTTCATGCTTATTCTGTTGCAAGTCATTGCAGTTCTG